ACTTTAGCTTAAGATTAAGTACTTTATTTAATAATTAGTGAGTCAAAATCATGAAATTATGTTTCATTAGTGCTTGGTAAGATTATCGAAGTTTCATTGTGCTTTTCAACGAGTTCTTGTTTCAAAATTCGAAGTTAAAACGTAAACTAATTTTCAACATTTGTAAAAAGATCCAAAGTGCCGCATTCATAATTACCTAGTAAACTAAACAATAAAGATTCAAATGGGGAAAAAAAATTAACGAAGTATGGAGCATCAACAAAATTGTAAAGATTCATTATTAATACGTAATTATTAATTGCATTTTTTATTGATGGGCATTCTTGATTACTTAGCCGAATCGGTTTCTTGATAGTAGTGTTTTTCTTTTTTTTTAAGTAATTGATTGGCTTAATTTTCTTATTACATGTAGATTGTCTATGCTTGCAAATTGACGATTCTAAATTAATTTCCATGATGGCATAGCAATTACAATCACTAAGAAAAAATTACTTGTGTTCGTAAAAAAAAATTAAAATAGCGTCATATGATATAACACAGAGGATCAATTACAATTGCCCAAAAAAATAATAATAATAATAAAATTTAATACCATTATCAGGTTTAACACAAATAAATAAATAAATAAGTTACAGTTTCAAAAAATTACATAAACATGATTAACAAAGACGATAAGTTACAATCATTGTAAATTTTAAAGGTTAATTATATTAACACAACAAAATTTACTTGTCACATTACAATTTTAATCAATTTTTTTATTTACTTAAATCACCTTAAGTAGAATTACTTAATTACCCACAACTTTATATAAATTCTTAAAACCACAATTTAAGTTGTTGCTTCTCATTTAACTGACACCTCCTTTGCTTATACTGCCGTCGTTGCCTTCGTCGTCGCCGCCACCACCTCCATCTTCTCCCTCGACATTTTTACAAAGAAAGAGGAATCCCTTGCTGAAAAATGGAATGACAAATGGGGAATTTGCAAAAGGAAAAAACCATGTTTCAATAAACTTTTTCTATATGCATACATGCCGTTGCCATTTTGTAAACTCAGATTTCCTCATCGGTTGTGTCAAATTCTCATGGCTTTATAATTCATGACTATAGTTGAAATCAATATATTTGTAAATTCTAGTTCTTTATATAAAATTTTCACGTATGTAAGAGCATCCTCTCCCTTGTTCTAGTTGGAGCTCCTAAACTCGATTGTTTTTGGAAACACATGAGATATTTATTCTTCTCCTTTTGCTTTTGCTGAATTTGGCAATCTTGAGCCTCTCTTGATATTCATGTCCCTTAACCAATTTTAATTTCTTTCATTTTGATGATCTTATAGAATTACTCTTCACTCATTGATGTCCATCCCGAGATAATTGATGGTATACTAGGAGTTGGTTATCGAATCATTTGTTGTGGATGTATAGCCAGAAACTACCGTTGAGACGATGTTTTTTAAAAATGTATGGAGCAAAAGTAGCGGCCTACTTTCTTACCGATAATCCTTATGAACTAGGTAAAGAATCCCTTGGTAGCAAAACCTATAACCCTTCTTCTGTAATCAGATTAATTTCTCCCCTTTAAAACACGAATCCCGCTAACGGGAACCAGATCTGAAGAGCATGAATCAATTGTTCTTTGGCAGAAAACTTCTCATTTCGTAAGAATTTGATTTCAAACATGGGATTCTATGATATCTTGGATTTACAGAAGTGAAAAAAACAATTAAGAAAAAAATAATTTATGAGTACTCCACAAGACCCTTTTTTTTCATTTGTAGTTTTTATTAGATTAGGAGTATATTTGTAAAATTTTTGTGATGTATTTATCAAATATGTATTTTAATTGTGGTGTAATAACTAAATTTCGTGGTGGTAATATAATTACTCATTTTTAAATGCAAAGTTTTCTAAAGGGTAATTAGCAGAAAATGTCCCTACCTTTCAAGTTCATTGTGGAAAACGTTCTTACCTTTCATTTTTTTTTTTGACATTTTTGCCCTTATTTCCACATTTCTTTCTGGAGAACGTCATTCCATCCACAATCCGTCAGTTTCCCCATAAATGCAATATAAAAATGCTATTTTCTTTTAAATCAATAAGGGTAAAATAGTCATAACACATTCAACCCCTTCATCCTGCCTTAAACCTAGTCCATAAGTAGTAACGATAACATTAATAATACTTTAAATTATTACATTAAATAAAGTAAAAATGTGATAAAGAAAAACATTATATTTCACAAATATGGCTGTTGTCATGTTGGGTTGCTGAAAAAGCTTAGATTTACATATATTGAATGGGTGGTCAATTTAGAAAGATATATGCTTATATTTCCAGTTTATACTTATTAAAGGTGTAACAAAGGGAAAAATTGAGAAGAACAAAGGTAAATGGTGGTTACTGTAAAGTACATATTAAGCTTCAATAGTGAATGACCCATTTTGGCTCAATGGTGAAGATTAACTGGTCCTACTCACTTTTTTTAGAATCAAATTAACCTTGTGATAATAATCACTACGTAGTAATACTTTTTCTAAAAACATCACTATCTTCAAAGTTTATTGGCGAAAATCGTCCCTACCTTTTAGAAATAGTTGCAAATAACGTTCCTACCTTGCACATTTTTTGAGAAAAACATCCCTATTTTCTTCATTATGCAGCCTGTTTATACACAACTACTCAAAATCCCTAAATTTACAGCATCTCAGACACAATTCATCCACCAATTAACCAAAAACTAAACAAAAAAATCAACACATATATTAAACAATTCACAGTTCAACTTTCATTTCAGCTTAACATCTACTGTGCAGCAAAAAAAGAGTTCTGAATGTGATAAATTCTATCCAGCAGTTCAAAAACATCAGAAACAGGTTCTTAAGGTGCTACATTATATCCATTACTACATGTTTTTCTTATGAACAAAAACAAAAGAAAAAAATTAACAAAACTTGGCAGCTTTATCCTAATACGTGCTGGAGGTTGTGCCCCTTTGCAACCTCTCCTATTGTGTCCAGCTCCATCACATTTCATACAAGTCATTATCAACCCCGATCATTTGCGTTGACCTACTGTTGATTCTAAAGTACTAGCATTGCTCTTCGACTTTCAAGACTTCTTAGGCTGACTTGAAGAAGTCACCTCATTTGGCTCTTATCTTCTGTTTTTCTTTGGCCTCCCAACCTTCTTTGTGTACACTGGTGGATTGAGAGGGCTCAAACCAGGGATAGGCCATAAGTTTGGACCTGTGATGGGGGAAATTGATGGTGTGTATGTCCTGATATATGCATCCTTTTTGTAGATGTTATCTACAAACTCCATCACGTTCAGCCCTCTAGATACAACTGCGGCAATCACATGGCTACAAGCAATTCCTGATAATTGCCAACCACGACATGTACAAGTTCTTGCCCTTAAATCCACAGCATGTAGCACAGTCTCTGCATTGTGTCAGACTTGAAACTTTTCATTGTCTGCGTATTCAGCCCACTCCATCCTTGCAAGTTTACTATTTTTGTCCAGAATCTTCTGAATCCTAGGTCCTACGGGTGCTGTCCACCGATCATAAGACTCCCTACCGACTACAATTCTCTTCATCAAATATACCCTTATATCCTGTAGCATGGTCAACATCGGCTTCTCTCATGCACTCACAATTGTGCTATTAAACGATTCACATAAATTGTTGAGAAGCATATCACATTGATTCCCCTCTCTGAAGTGGGAATTACTCCAATGAGAAGCTGGTTTTTGTTCTAGCCATCCATAAGTAGCCGGGTCCAAGTCCAACAGTCGTTGCATGTGTTGAAGCCACTGTGACACAGTAGTGGCTTTAGCTACATCCCACAAACAATTTTTCAAAGCCAAACCCTTGTGATTGGGACTAAAATTATTGTATAGATGTCTAACGCACGTCCTGTGCTCCGAATCCTCAAATAGTGACTCAATTATATTAGTCAACCCCTTTTGCTTATCGA